GGGGAGTTACTACAAAAATTTTAACAAGAGAGGAGTATTAGCAATTCAGGAAACAGTTGTTTTCCAAATGTGATAACTCCTATCCAAGGAGGCTTCATTTCATGATATAAGTCAGATGAGACTGGCATTAAATATTTTCTTTGCGGGTTTTAGAAACAAATACAAGGATTTGGCTGATGCTTTTCAATGCTTTTCTTTCTGCTGATGACATCAGATTTACAGAGACTTTTATTAAAGGAACACAAAACCCCTTGGTACTTAGTAAAACTGTATCTTTATCACATAATGATTGGACCAGAGCCACTCAGTCCATAGTTTGAATGCTTTGTGTTTTTTAAGTGAAAACTTACATCAGCAGATAGGCTAGTTTGGGAGTTGATATGAACAAGCTGAAATTAGTAGAACTTGCAGCATTACTATTGGAAAACAGGTCATAATTTCAGTATGTGTTAGAAGTCAAAGTGTGACAAGGTTTAACTACTGAGTATGAAGTTGTTCCTACTCTTCACAGGAGGTGCATGTTGCAATCTTAGTGTATCTTAAATAGCTCTTTAGCACCTTTTCAGTATTAATTATGTTATTTGAGTAATGTGCTTGTATAGAACATTATGGTAGTATTGTTATTTCATTATTACCGTGAACAGCTTTTAAAAAAATTAAAGAAATTAATTTAAAAAAAAGCAAAATTCAAATAGCTTTTTTTTTTTTCCCCACTCAATAGTTTGTATTCAGTCATTGCTTAAACAGGAATTGTAGATAGGTTCAGACATCCCTCTTCCCAAGAATTCAGGCAGGAGGAACTTAAATGTTCCACTTGAAAGTACTTTATTGCCATTGCTACATGGTCTTAAGAATAGCATGTCAGAAATCCTGTCTTGGACGTTTTCTCAGTTCCTCCCTGCATTCCTCAACAGTTCATTTCTCAGCTACACCCTTTCCCTTCAGGTAGTTAATTTTTTGCACTAAGCAAAGAAAAATAGTTCTGGCTGAACAGCTTTTGAAATTATGAAGTTTCTTCCTGCTACCATTACTGACATTATTAAGTATATATAGCCATTATGGGTGGTAGTATCCCAAAAAAATCTATTCTGTAGTAGTAATATACTGTACTGAATGTTAAAGGTACTGATGTGGACTGGACAAAAAAGAGAATACAGATGAAGGTTCACATTCACAATGAAGAATGATAGATGATGATTTTTAGATAATCTAGAGTGTTTGGAATTAATGTGACTGGTTTACTGACAGTATTAACAGTGTTATCTAGGATCCCATCCTGCTGTCATGAAAATAAATATTAAAACGGAAAAAAAAAAAGACACTTAGTATTATTTCTGTTGTATGCTTGTATTTGTAATATTTCTGGTCTCTAGAATACAGAGGAGGAACCAAATTTTCCATTGTATTGGTGACCAGTTTATTTTTTAGTTCCTACATGCCAAATCCATTGCAATGAAATTCCGCATACATATTATAGGTAAAATTCAAAAGAAAATTTGCATTTGGGTAATTTTTTGTATTTTTATTTGTAAATAAAAGTGCACTCCCTAAAATTTGTGTGTAAAATCTGAGAGGATTTATTTCTCCTGAGTTTTTTGGTTCTTCAGAGTTTTTTGAGAAACAGTCCACTCATCAGAAAGGGAAGCTGAATTTGGCTGTATTTTCAGAGGTATATGTTTAAAGTTAGTTGTGCAAATCCCACAGGCATTTTGCAGAGAAAACTCTGCAAAAGCGAAGAACCTTTTTTCACTTGCTATATACTAACAAGCCTCTGAACACATGGAAACATTCCACCTAATCTGTAGCATATTGAACCTCTGTATACAGAACTCTATCTGAAGAGTTATTAATCTAATTTTCTGTTTATGGCAAAAAGTTTATTGTGTTAATGTGGCTGGGGTTTAAAAGCGTGAGTTAATGGATAATTAATAATGCTAAAAACTCCTGTATGGCTTAGTCTGACTGTCAAAGATAAAAAAAAGTAAATTAAAACATACTTCATTTCATATTTATTTTATTTTCAGAAAAAATATTCTTTAGGAAGCAATTCATAAAATATACCCTTTTAAGAAAATACTTTTATCCTTTCCAACTTCTCTCAGTTTGAAAACACTAAAGATATATTAAAACAAACTTGGGTTTTCATCAAAACAGTGATACTGACCAAAAAAACCATCAGGCTTGTAGTGTGTGTATATATGTTTTTAAGTTAACATTGAAGTTGAATATACTTATTGTCTTTACATTTAATATGACTTAGAATAGTTAACATATAAGCCCTCACAAATTAAGCTTTATATTAGCACAGAAAAGCAAGATAATGCATTTGATTTACAGATTTACAGGATTTCATAAACATACCATTTGTGTTTTCTTCACCAGACAAGCACTGCACTGTGTTACGTAATTGGGACTGGCTTTTCAGACTTCATCAGAGCTTGACATTTGCTCGTCCTTTTACAACCATAGGTTTGGAATTGAAAGAAAATTATCTTAAAATTTTGTTCACTTCAAGGCTTCAGTGGTACCTTTTCTGTTTCTGGAAAGTATTCATTTCCTGCTGCTACTGCCATTAATTTCCTATTACCTGACATCTTTGAGTTACAAAACTGTGAAGGATACACAGTGATTATTTTCGACCACTGATCTGCTGACATGGACAGCTTTATTTAAATAAGCATTAATAAATGACACAAAGCACAGGCATACTGTGTGTGACAAATGCACTCTGAGGCCCAAGGGTCAAAAGACAAACACCATGTTAATTTTACTCTGAAGGGAGCTACTGGGTGGGCTGGGTGCGAAAAAGTGATGGAACCTATCTTCTGTCTAGATCTTACTAAATCACGTCCAAATTTCTTAAACTATTTCAGAGACGGAAAGTTTGCTTTCCAGGTAAACTAGATTGCTCTAAGCATTAGTTATTTGTGAGAAAAATGCTTACAGAAAGTTTATACATCTGATAAAAGTCCTTAATCCATTTAAAATTTAACTGTTGCTTTTGGATATGGTACTGTGCTGACTAAATCAGCACAGATTCAGGAATTAAATGCAAGCTTCTCCAGCAAATATACTTAAAACCAAGTCCAGTGGTTTAAATAAAAAAGTTTTAGAAAATTGCCTTCTTCCTTGACTGTGAGCAGTTATTCCTGCTTAAATGAAAAAGCTCATGAATGGACAATGCATGTATCATAAGTTTTATCTATAGTACAGACACCAGGAGTAACAAAAGCTGAGGAAGTACTGTAATCCCCAAACTCGGGTGTAATTTCTATGTCTTGTAAGGGCTTCGAGATAATGAATATCCTCCTGAAAAGGAATACTGTATTGTACTATTAATCTACATCTGTGTCTCAGTGTTCTCTACATTCATAGTGACAAAGAGCTGGAAGAGAAAAGTATAGAGAAAGAAAATTAACATTAATTTGAAGAGGAAAGAGATGCTTTCTTCTGCATCTTAAATAAAGTTTACCAGCTGCTTCTTTTAATAATGCGTGCAAGCTAACAGGAAAAGTGACTGAAAATGGACAGTAGGGTAAATTCTTTTTTTATCTCATGAATGAAAAATCAGTGGAAAAAAAAAAAAAGAAAAATACTTTTCCTAAATGCTTTAAAAAATATGGTAACCTTCAATAGGTATTTTAATCGTAATAGAGAAAGGACTGAAATAAAATTCTGGGATTTTTTAAATAGACAGTGCATTGCTTTAACTCTGTAGTTGAATTCCATACTTAATTGTAATCCAATAAGAGAAACTACTATGAAATTGACCTCCACAGAGGAGAAACTCTCTGGAAGCCATGTGGCTTGCTTTTCTACTACCTGCAAAGGACTCTTTTCTTTGTGTTTCATGGTGTGGAGAACCAACAAAATCAGTTGATTTTTGCCTCTTCTGTTCAAGGGCAAACTGTTTGACAAGAAATAGTACCTGAAATCTCACAGAAGAACTTCTGCAGGTTTTGGAACAAAACTTTAAGGTCTTCTCTCCTTTATGAACATTTGGATGCATGTGAAATTTTGTTGTGAAGGGATTAGTATGGTTGCTTAATTCTGAACTCTCTATTAACTGAACTTTTAAAAAGAGCTACTGAGCTACACGCACCAGTCTAGAACCTGTACTCCCTTTCCTTGTGTACAAAGAATTTCAGTCTGCTTTAGTACTGGTTATTTCATAAAGGCCTCTGTGATCCTTATTATTACTGTAACTGCCCATTTGCACTTACACATTGAGTCGTGATATTTTTATATAAAAAACTACAGAAATACAGGGTGTTTTATGAATAAACAAGTGAGAGTGGGGGAAACTTTGAACTGGAAATAGCATATAATAGAATACAACAGGAAGTTATTGAAAGAAAGATGTAAAGTGGAAATGGCAATATATTTTCCAACAGCATTTATTTAATATTGACAGTCCAGCCTGAAGAAATCTATGAAATTCTAGTCCTACTTATTACTTCAGTAAATAAAGTTACACAGATCATTTCCTGTACAACTTATCCTGGCTGAATAGCACTGAGTTTCTATTGGCTTGAGTAGTTCGACTTCTGTCCAGAAAGAATATCCTGCAAGAATTGTCATATCTAGTTAAGGTGGACAGGAGGGTAGTTTATATATGCAGGTAGAGATTCTTTTAAAATAAGAACCTTCATTTTGTAATGGCCATATATAAGGTACAACCTGAGGACATGGGATACCAACAGTAAGTTGTACAGATTTGACTTAAATACACTTCTTAAATACTTACAGCTATGTAAGTCATAAGTCAATATGTGTTATACATTTTGAGCTTATATGGAATCAAATACAACACACATGAAGTTCTGAATCACATTACTGCTATTATTACTATATCTTATATTGGTGCTGAAGTGGAGAAATGTGCTGGGGTTTGTTATGGTTATTTTTAAGAATAATTTCAGAGTACTCTGTCTATCAGCAAAAGCCATGATGAAATTTTGTATTTTATGTCAAATAATCCTTATTTTTTGTATTTGTAGATGTTGATGAATGCCAGGCTATCCCTGGAGTTTGCCAAGGAGGAAACTGTATTAATACAGTAGGTTCATATGAGTGCAAGTGTCCTACTGGTCACAAACAGAATGAGGCAACTCAAAAATGTGATGGTAAGTGATGTTGTCAGAGAACATACCTAAAAGTGGTTAAGTAAAGCATTAGAGTGCTTCCGTAATGCAGGAAAAGGTTCTAAATAGTTGCAGTGTCTGATCTGAACACACATAATATCATTGTACTGTACTTTTGATTTCTTCACAGCATTGTCTGTTTCTACTTTGTTTTTCATATTTTGTTTTAGGTGTTTTTTTACTTTCTGACTCACTGGGGTAAAGGCCATGTTTATCCTGTTTCAAAATTTAGAACTCTTGATGAAGAGTGGATCTGTGAGCAGCATATAGCTGCATTGCATTTACTAAGATTTTGTTTGTTTTCTCAAAAATGTCCAAAATACTCTAGTAAAGGTAGGTATTTTCAGCCTACTGACTGCAGCATGAAAAGCAGATGTATCGGGTTTTGTAATGGATGTGAGAAATTACTGCTATGTACTATTTATGTTGAAGAACCTGGGTAAGTGAAAAAAACGTAAGAAATGTCCTTCTCTTTTACATGAAAAATCAAATAGACCATGTTTAATAAACATGGACCATGTTTATTTAGTAAACATGTTGATATAATTAAGAACAGCAGTTTTGTGTCGTTTAAACTAATGTGATTGGAAATTGATGAGTATTTGTGGGTTTGATGAAGACTTCACTGAGTTGAATGTATTTGCCGTGCTTTTGAAAGAAATCAGAACTCTCAGACTTCATCCCAACCAGGGGGTACCTTCACATTCGAATCACACAGATGAGAGTACTGCTTGTTCAAGGATTTGGCTTGTGGTTAGGCTGCAATTGAGTATCTTACCAAAATACTTCATACTCTGTATTCATTTATAAACAAATACAAATGGTTTGTAGCCAGTTTTGAACATTGTCTCAGATTTTCTTTGGTTTTGCCTACAATACAGAATTCACAAGAAAATTAAGTAATACAATCAGTTCGAAAACCACATTTTATAAGTGAAAATGTTGCAGCTGATATTGTTGCAAGTAATAACAAAGAGTAAGTAAAAAAACTATCCAAAGGTATTTTTATCTGATGCTGTCCTCCACCTTCTGTTTTTTTTTATGTTGATGAGTTTCAATTTCTGCTCAGTACGCAATGGTATTCCTGTCATGAGTCTTCCAAGGGGAAACCTGGCTATATCTTGTTAAAACCTTCCAAGAAACAATTTGCAGGAAGTAGAACTGCAACTGTAGAAATAGAGCTTTCCTTACCACGATTGAGGAGAAATAAAAGAAGCTTGTGGGTGTGTCTGTTCATGTGCATGTGTATATCTAGAACAGTTGAACTGAACAGGGATCTTGTATTACAAACACTTTGACAGACGCACCTTATTTACAGGTTCAGGATGTCAGTTTGGGAAACCAATACTGCATGGTGTGTACCTAAATCTAAGCTTAGAATGATGACTCAGAATGCACAAACCACTCACCCATAAGGTGAGGACACTCAGTCCCGGGAAGTTTCTTTGGATGGCATCCCGATCCAAAGGGAGAGGCCTGACGGGCTCTTTTTTACCCTGAGTTGAATGGGCCTCGTGGTCATACGTGGTTCCAGTTGGTTGAGGGGTTTCCTAGGTGGGCTGAGGTGGTCTTTGGTGGTACCCAGGGTACATGACTAGGGGCTCCCTGTGTATATGACCTGCAGCACACATGCTTCCTGCCAGCCCAGCCCCCACGTCCCTGCCCTGTGCCCCTACAGCCAGCCAGGCTGGGGAGGAATGCACCTGCCATGGTCACCAGAGCCACTTCCCTTGGAAGAATTAAGTACAAGGCATTTCATTTATGTTGTGCTGCATGGCACCCTGTGAGGAACAGGGCTCAGCATGAGGTGGGCTGTACATCCTAGTAAAATCTTTCAAATTTTGTGGGAGATAGGATGGAAGTGTAACTATAGGCAAGTGGGATTTTTCTTGCCAGGGAGGTGAACAGGAAAGAGT